TTTTTTTTTTTTTTTTTTTTTTTTTTTCTGGTTCACTCATTGCTCTTAGCACTGGTGGTGTTAATCATATTTTAAACAACCAGTTTAAAGAGTTTAAAATATAAAACCTTTTAATTAAAGAGAAGTTCACATAATATTGATAAACTGCTCATCGAAATTCATGTCAGTATACTTCTTAATTGAATTTTTATGTTGCATTCTTCCGTCATTTTTTTTTTTTCACTTGTAGGTCTCATTCATCTCTCTTTGGAATACTGTAGCTATAGTCTTACAGTAACCTTGTCTTACACTTATCTTAGTTTTAAGCAATGAAATACAGATTTAATGACAAATGACCCCCTAACTATATGTGTTTCACCTGCATGAGTCGTCCAGCTGTCGTTATTGACAGCTCCTGCTTCTTCTAAGTCAGCATGGTGGGCTTCTGGAAATAGGTCTTCTTTTGCCAACATGCCATGTTTTTTAGTAGAGCCCCTATTTTTGTGTCTGATCGAGCTTGTGGTCTTCCTAGGTCGGCAACTACAATGTCTACCGACCTGCTTTAAAATTAAAACTTAAATACTTCTGCCACATGTTGGTCGTTTATTGGTTGTAGCCATATCGGTATCAACAACTGGAACTTTTGTTTCTTCTTTAATAGGGATGGATGTGATAGAGACTAGAGAGTATAACAATGTAATTTAATTACGGGAGAATGCAACATTTCCTTCCTTAGTAATTTGGTCTTTAAGGTGTTTCTTTTTGGAACGTCTGTTTTATATTCACAAAGACCCTGTTCCCTCATCTAATTTTGCAAGTCGAGGGACACAATCAAGTTATAACCTTAATGAGCAACAAACATCCATTTTTGCTCAGATGAAGCTATTTAGGTACACTACTTTTCATGGAATGCTGGTTTGTTTTTCATGCATGCTTGCTTCTATTCTGTTGGGAAACAAGAATTTTGTTGTATTGTGTAATATGTCTCGGCACGAGAAATATTTGATCGTGCATATTAGACCAGTAAATTATAAGTATGAATTGACTCTGAGTGGCAGAATAATTAGTGAAGTTTCTGGGCTGTCAAATTGCAGGTCATTGAAATGTCAGGAGTTTGTGCCGCATCTGATATTTGGAGTGTCGGCTGCACGGTGATTGAACTTCTCACGTGTGTTCCTCCATATTATGATCTGCAGCCCATGCCTGCCTTGTTTAGGATTGTACAGGTACAAATCAGGTTCACCTTTCCGTAGTCATCATCCGTGTGTTGCCTGTGAGCGTTCTCATGTCTTGCATTTTATTGTTGACGGACATTATAAATTAATTTTCCTGTCCACTCTATTAAATTGATTATTTTTCTTCAAACAAAGTCCTGAAGTGATAATGAACCATGTGAGCACACCAGGCATTAGGCAAGTATATGAATTTTGAAGTCTTCAGTTGCAATTGCTCAAACCTTGTTTAAGGTTGCACGCCATTTCTTGTTTTCCAGGATGAGCATCCTCCAATTCCAGATAGTTTATCTCCAGCTATCACTGATTTCCTACGTCAGTGCTTTAAAAAGGTAAGGTGTAAATTGAGTGCGCTGTATTTTTTTATGGTTTCCCTTGCCTTTTTTCTTTGTTTATTTTGTCAGGCATGTTTATAGTTTCTTGATTGAACTATAGTCCGTGCTTATTGTGTGTGTGTGTGTGTGTGTGTGTGTGTGTGTTTTCTCTTGGGGAGGCACCAAGTTCATAAATCATGATGGAAACCAAACTGAAACTTAAATGATATTCTGGAAATTACAAGAATAATGAAGATTAATGTTTTGATTTTGGGCATGCCTATATGTTGTTCAACTTCTTAGCTTACGAAACTTTGAAGTGTTTGAGACATCAATGAAAATTGTAGCAGCTTTTATTTAATTCACGAATCAGAGAATTAGAAAATATAGGATCCCCATTTCCTCACACTCTCTCCATCATCCTCTTGACTCTTTTTGACCTCCACTTTTGATCCTCACTAATATTAATCCCGGTGCTAAAAGTACATAAGGTGGGTTTGCTTGCAATAATGGATTGAGCCTGATATAATCTTCTTGATATTTTCAGAGTCTGTCAACCAATTCAATTAGCCAATTAACTTGTTTAGTTTAGGGTTGATAATTATATACTTAAGGTTGATATTACTTTTCTACCCTTCATGTAAAATTAAATTTTCAGATTTTTCCCCGACGTAGTAAACATGATTATTGCCGCCGAATCTGTCTCACTTACCTCCCTCGGTTGTTTCGAACCCTAGCCTCCAACCTAAGCCGCCAATTCCACCCCTCCTAAGGCGACGTGGCCTTCATCCTATCCCCCAACTCCATCCACATCCTCCTCTGCCTCGTCCTGCTCTCTCTCGGTGTCGTCATTTACCCTTCCAATTTCCTTAGTTCTGCCGCTGAGATTTCCTGCCAGATTTACATCACTGCAATTGCCTTTTCTATATTGCCTTCGCCGCCCCAGATTGCTCATCCAAATTGCCTCCGTTATGCCCTGAGTACAGTCTTGCTCGACTCTCTCGACTTTGGCTCAGTCTGGTTAGCGCCGGCGTGCTTCAAAGCGACTTGGCGGCGATCCTCTACTCATCCAGGATGACTGGGATGGTCAAGGGCGTTGAGCGATTAGGGTTAGAATTGGGAAATCGCCATTAGAGTGGATGGGTTTGAGCTTCTTGCTTGTTGGGATTAGGGATATGTATGTAATAAAACATCTTATAAGTGAAAAATGATATGTCATCCCGCCAAAAGGGTGGGATGTGGTATAAACATTTTGAAGGATACCTATGCTGGCATACCGGGTTTTAGAGGGCTTTATTATACAAACCAAACACATTAAAGGGTTGGATACTTAAACAGATGGTGTGATATCCTGCCTTATCTTGCCTACCAAGCGAACTCTTAGTTTTTTCTGTTTGTTGTATCATATGTAAATCAGATCTCCAAGTGCTTATAGTGGACTGGTATGGCAGAATGGTATTTGATAGAAATGGAATGAATTGGGAAAAGGAAAAGTGATGGTAAATGAGTGATAAATATAAAGATTGACGTGTTTGGTATTCTATAAGCATTGGTATGCCACAATTTTTTAATATTGGGTTATATTTATGTACTATTTTCATTTTAATTATAATTATCTTTTGTTACTTATGTAGAGATTTTATATTTTTTTTATATAATATAGGATTTTCTGTTGTATTTTAAATTTCTATGTATTGTTAATTATCTAAATTATTTTTATATTGCACTTTATATTCATCATATGCTTTTAACAAGCAACAAAAAATTATTACTAATAAACAAAGAAAGTAATTTCGACTTCTTAATATAGTTAAGGTGTATGCTAATTCAAATATCTGTAACTATCAATATCTGTAACTATCATATGACTATAAATATATAATTAATAAAAAAAAAAAAGACAATAGAGTTATTTGTTTTCAAGTAAAAATAACCATAGTGTAAGTAATCATCATTTAAATTGTGATAATTATGTTGTTAATAATCTTTTTTTTTTTTTTTTTTTTTTTTTTNNNTTTTTTTTTTGTTTTTCACGTTTTAGTTTTCATTTTCCATAATATCAAGGGGATGGGAGAGGGGTCAATCCTGCATTTATAGAAATGGCTACTCCCATGGAAATGGTATTACACAATTCTAGATCATATCAGCCATGAGAATTTGGAAGCAGCACCGAGGCTATTCTATACCTACTGCATTTGATTGTTCCAATCACGCTTATATAAATTCTTTTTACAGGTGTTCTTGTGATAGTTTGACATTCTGTGGGTTGCATATGCTTTTTACATATTTCGACATAGAATAGTGAAGACAATGCATATCAAGTTTCAACTTTGATGTGTACATCCTTCTGCTGATATTGACTGTCGCAGGTGCACCAGCCTACTGATTACGTTCTAAGATTATGATTGATCCTAATATTGTTTAGTTCACTTGAATATGTGTGTGTGTGTGGGTGTGTGTGTATTATCCACCTTCTCTCGATAGTCTTGGCAGAGATAAGACAAGAAATTGTTTGATGTATTGGGAAAGAATATTTCAAATTTTTGTTGATCCGTGCAATTGCAAAATTTTGTAGTGCTTCATAATTTTTCTAATCTTCATTTGAGTAACTTTATGAATTATGTATGTGCTGGGTGATTCTGGTAATGTTGTTATCCTACAACAGATTTGAGATAGACTGCGTTCCTTGGCTTTATTTTTGCCACTGTTGATGATCCATCAAGTTGTCATTGATAAGCATTGTGCTTTCGACATCATTTTTCTCGTGTTATATGAATTCAAAAAAATTAAATGTGTGATCATGGACATCGTGCTGGAATTTTGCACCTTTTTTTTTTTTTTTTTTCGATTTACATAACCAGTGAAAATATGTTGTTTGCATAATCTATCTGTATTGACAGCCATTGCATCTTCATGTCGATACCCTTTGCATTGTTTATAACAGTTGGTTCAACATTTTAGGATGCTCGGCAGAGGCCTGACGCAAAGACGTTACTTTCACACCCTTGGATCCAAAACTCAAGACGTGCTCTGCAGACTTCTTTACGTCATAGTGGAACACTAAAGTATAGCACCACTGATTCTATTTCTGTCTGTCCTTGACATTCCTTTATCATTTTTACTTGCTTATAAGACAGATACCATTCAGATTTGAAATTATATCCAGATTGTGCAGGGCACCTTTCTGTTTTGTCAACAAATTTGAGCTTACTGTTTTGTGTTTCTTTGTGAACTGTAACAACTCCTCTATTTGTTATAATCCACGAGGATTTTGTGCTTGCTCATTAAATAAAAAATGTCAGCATAATATTTTTTATTTTTTTAGTGCAAAAGTACGTATGCATATTTGTGCAAATCATTTTGTGATGACAATTCATTTGTCCATTTGATATGTGAAGTTGTCGGATTATCTGGCGTCATTCTTTAAAGTTCTTTTGTTGAGGCATTGACTAATGGTTTGAAGAATTCAGCCTCTTTAAGATTAATTGACCTGAATTTTTCTATATTCTAGGAAACCTGAAGTTCGGAATATGGTTCACCACTACGTGAACACAATTCATGAATCATTATTATACTAAGTAGTTTATGAACCCTCCATATACTAAGTAGTTTATGAAGTTCGGACTATAATATTTTCATAATTAATCTGAATTTCTCTATATCCTCGTAAGCCTGAAGTTCTGAATATGGCTCACCACTACGTGTGCATAATTCATGAATCATGATTATACTGATTATTTTATGGGCACTCCATATCGAGAACACTTGGACTATAAAATTTTCGTAGTTACACTAGTTTTCCACCTGATTAAATTAGTTGATCTGCGCTACACGGTACCTATTCTCTTCTTTGCTGCTCTCTTGCCATCCCAGAATAATGCTTAGTTCCTTTTTAGATTGTATTGTTGTCTTGTACTGCATCTAACTTTTGGACCACGGTTCAATTGAAGCAATATATTTCTTCGTGTCTTGCTGCTCTCTATAGGAGCTTCCCTCTATCAGTATTTCTGAATCTATTAAATGATGCTGTTGGAGTTCTGTCTGACATAATGATGAAGCAATCTCTGTGTTTATAAATTCCCACAATTTTGCAGGAACATGGAGGAGGTTGGATCAGGGGACGCTGAATCAAGCAGTAGTGGGAAAGAACGTACTGTGGAGACATCTTCCACTGAGAAAGTAAAGTAATTCTTAACTGAAGCTTCCATGTTCCGTGATGTTTTTAGTCTAACACTGCCAAACGGGTTGGGCCGGTGTGCTGGCTTAAAACTTGTTGGTGCATGACTGCCTTGTTTTATAGTTTGCGTTCTGAGGATCGTCCTATCTTTGAGAAAAAATATGGTTTTGGGTTTTTTTTCCTATATTATCCAGTTTTTCTGTCTTTCCCGAAGATAGTTTATGTATGAACAGACTGAACTAGCTGTTGGCCTTGACTCTTGAGTCAAATTTCTGATTCCAGTACAAAAGATAGTTGAACAAATTTGGGAGATCGACATATCTTTTCTGTTTGGGGGAGATCGACATATCTTTTCTGTTTGAGGGAGATTTAAAAATCGCTGTTCAGGGTGAGTGTTCGAAATGGGGATGGTCTATACTGATGTAAATCTTGAGTTAAAAAATATATATTGGGCCTGTCCTGGCCCTTTTGTAGCCCTGATTAATGATTTGAGTGATGGGCCAGCTTAAACATATAATCTCTATTTATAAAAAAAAAAAAACTAATGGGCTGCCCGCTCCGCCCTTATTAGCTAGTGGGCAAGCCAATTAGGCACGCGGCTAAACGGGCTGCGAGAATGAAGGGCCAGATCTGCCCATTTCCACAGCTTTACGGACAGGCCTCAGCCCCGTTTTGACAGTGCTAGCATGCCATTGTTGATATTGTATCCCTTTTTTCCTGGTTATGCTTCAATTGAAGTGGTATTTTATCAAATCATGCAATATATTAGAAGCGTATTCATGGTATCAGGAATGTGGAACGGAGCTGGTATCCTCGGAAACTTCGGAGACTATAAAGTCTTCTGAGGATGGTGGTTTTAAAGCTAATCTTATTGAGGGAAGTACGGATGATCCAGAGGGAGATGTGATTTCTGATCAGGTTCCCACATTTGCAATCCATGAAAAGTCACCCTTGCAGTCCAGCTCAGATGGACTTGAGGCATCACTTTCGGATTCTACTGAACACAAGCCATCAACACTGCAGGACGAAGTGCTTATAAATAGTGAAATGGAGCCTGCTGAGGCAGCAGAGAGAGATTTTGTAGCTAGAAAATTTGATAAGAACGGAAGTTCAATCACCATCCAGCATGGCAAAACTCATTTTAATCAAAAGAGCCACGACTTTAGTCCACAGAAGGTAATTTTGGTTATCAGTTTATTTGGGAAAAAAAAAAAATTTGGGCTGTTACAAAATTTATCTTTTTTTTTTTGTTTGAACGAAGTGTGATTTATTATGTCATTATTTGTGTGGCTTATGATATATGCGACAACCCCCACCCCCACCCCCTCCCCCCGGTGAAAGGTGGGAACCGTCATGGATCCCATCTCATTTTATGTGAGTGATTGAGTATACCCAGGTAACCAGGTTGTAGAAATACAATACCATTGTCCTATTTTAGTGTCTTATTTCGAATCTGTTTTCTTGCAATTCTTTTCTTTAATCATATTTTTAAAGACAGAAAATGAAGTTGTATCTAGTTATAGATGAAGCATATTACTATGACATGAAAGTCACTCCCTTTCCTTTTCTCACAACACGCACTCGCACATCGCACATGGACCAGTACAATCTCTCCATCGAAGTAATCAACAAAAATTTCTGGAATATGTTAGATATAGAGTACCAAGTCATGTTTATACTGCCATTTCAACTTTTAAACTTGCAGGGTAGTTTGTCAATTTCTCTAACCTGAAACTTAGTAATATGTTCCTCATAGGAGTTTCAAGGAAATCAATTGGCTACATTAGCCTATAGCTGCTAGTTTTCACAAAGCCTTGCAGACTGAATATGTGGTGTGTTGCCTAGCTAAAGGTGGGATTGTTTGTAGATTATTTGAGATAGAGCTTCATCTTTTTTGTTAATGAATATTATTGTAACCTGAATACTCTACAACGATAAGGGATAATAATAACTTAGAAAAATAGAGGGTCTATTGGTAAGTCTACTGACCCTGATTATCTTGGATACAAACAGAAATCCAAGAAGATCAAAACCCATAAGATAGGAACAACCAAATAAAACATTAGAAAAACAGGATCAAAATAAATAAATTCTGGTAACCTAATGTATGTACTGGCTGGGTTCTCTTGTAAGGATTCTTGACTTGTATAGATTGTATTTCAGATATCCTTGTTATATCTCTTGAACCTTCAATCAAACTAAGTTATTTCTGGTATTACTAAATTGTAAAATTATAGCCATCTCCATTCTTCTGGTGACTTTAGATCTTGTGATAAAATCTTTACTCGTCTCGTTGGTAAATGTGTTCCCAATGAGGATTACTTCTCTTTAATTTCGTATCCATCAATCCTGTTGTGCTATCATGCTGATTGTAATGCTGATGAATTAGTCGATTCCACTTGCGTAGGATGTGGAAGCATCAATGGGTTCTGGAACAAATGAACTTAGTAGGTTCAGTGACCCTCCAGGTGATGCATCTTTGGATGATTTATTTCACCCATTGGAGAATCTGGAGGACCATGGTGCTGAAGCTTCCACTTCTGCATCTACTTCACATGTAATTCATGGGAATTTAATCTCTGATAATGGAAAGAATGACCTGGCGACAAAATTAAGGGCTACAATTGCTCAAAAGCAGATGGAGAATGAATCAGCCCAGGCCAATGGTGGCGATCTACTTCGTTTAATGATGGGTGTTATAAAGAAAGATGTAATTGATATTGATACTCTGGTATGATTGGACTAGACTGATTGGTTTATTACTTTCTTTGTCAAAATGCATCTAATCTTTGTTATATACCTTTTCTTTTCAGGGATTTGAAGATAAATTGCCTGCTGAAAATCTCTTTCATCTTCAGGTACATGTATGCTAATTGACGAGTGGCTTTCATAGCGATGTATTTATGCCTTTTCTTTTTACCCAGGTTTTCTGTTAACCAAAAGCTTGGGATTCACTTCACTCTTTTACATTCATTTGTTGATCGGAATTGCTAGTTTTCTAATTGCTGCTGTAGAGGGACTTCTCTAGAAATTTAAAATTTAAGCAAGTTTGGCATGTGTTAAAAGTCATTTAGGAGTACTATACTCTGTGAGATGCTACTGGTTGTTGCTCTGTCCAATCTTATTGAATGTAATGTGATATGGAAAAATATCCATCAATTTATTTACGTACGAAATTTCTTAGGGTTTCTTGGAGTCGGAGGGCAATATATGCCCAATAAAAATTTGTCATGATAAATGAGAGCATGTTTTAAGAGTTTTCACTGCTATTTTGATCCTATTGATCTTTTGTGTCCTCAGGTCTGCCTGTTAACATCACTCTTGTTTTCCATTTTTGATTTGATCATGTGCATTCGTTGTTGATTTATCACAATGTAGATCCATTTGTAGACTGACTGCGTTTCTCTAATACAGGCTGTTGAATTTGGAAAATTAGTGTCATCACTGAGGCCAGATGAACCAGAAGATGTGATTGTATCTTCCTGTCAGAAGTTGACTACATTTTTTCATCAGCGATCAGAACAGAAAATTGTATTCATTACACAGCATGGTTTGCTACCTTTATTGGAACTACTTGAGGTTCCAAGACCTCGTGTAAGTAATTTTTATAGAGCCCAGTGAATTAATTTGCTACTGTTTTATATGCATTTTACGTTATATTTTTCTTACAGTGTCGTGGATTGTTTTATTTTCAGATCATATGCTCGGTGCTTCAGGTTCTAAACCAAATAATCAAAGATAACACTGATTTTCAGGAGAATGCTTGTCTAGTCGGTCTTGTAAGTATTCTGCAAATTTAGTTTATTAATTCTTGATTCTGAATAACCATAAACTTACAAGAAATCCACACAAAAGTTCACTTGTACTTACCCGTAAACATGTAGGTTCATCCCCCTTCACAATTGAATAACATTCAAGGATTATAATCTTAAACAGGAAACGGCTTTGTTGTTTTTTCCAACGATTTGATCAAAATACAGTTTTTTCTTTTTCTATAAATTTAACCATCCGCACATGTTGTTGCGGTGTCATGATGGCTACGGGGTTGTAACATAACTACTCTTGTTACTTGAACACTAGTATTATATTTTCTTGATATCCTGTAGTTGGAGAAATGCTTTCTGAAAACAATCAGCTATAATTTGGTCATCTATTTTATAATCCTTGCGCAATGGGAGCTCCTGTTTGGACTTTTATACCATTGTAGTAAGTGTAGATTTCAGCAATTTCAGTGGATATGGAGCACGTTGACCTAAACAGTGGAATTATTGCTCATCAAGTTTGAACTGTTACCTGTTTGTAAGAATTTTCTGAAATAGCAAAAAGTAGGGGTATGTAACCCATTAGGATGAATAAAACGCCAGAAAGGAAGACAGTTGTAAGTTTTCTTATTTTCTGATTGATTTTTTAGTTATTATGAAGCGTACTTATCCCATAATGTGGCCAGATTCCTGTAGTGATGAGCTTTGCAGTACATGATCGTCCTCGAGAGGTACGCATGGAAGCAGCATATTTTGTACAGCAACTATGCCAATCAAGGTTAATTTTGTAACTTGAATGGCTTTGTGGATATATATGTTTTTGTTCCAATGTATATGATAAAATATTTGTTTCATCCAGCTCTTCAACGCTGCAAATGTTTATTGCATGTCGTGGTATACCCATCCTGGTGGGCTTTATGGAGCCTGATTATGCCAAATATAGGTCAGCAGTCAAATTAAGTTTAAAATATTTATTCGTTTTCACTTTTTCCTATGATAGTTCTAAGCGCTTTGACAGTTGCAAATGTTATTTCACTAAATTAACTTAATTTATTTCTAACTGAATATTGTGTGGAGATTTTTGAAGGTCTTCTGGTTGAAGACAATTTAGTTTTAATGATCACATCAAGTTCAAGAAACTATGGAGATTGTATATTGTACTGCTGGGTCATGGTGATTGTTTAGTTTTTGTGGCTCTCAATGGCCCTTCTCTATATAACTATCATACTTTATATTAACAGAATAATCTAACTATTATATTAGTGGGAAAGAAGGATATATTAGATTCTTAGCTTATTGGTAGGTGTTTTTGGATCAAAACATTATCTTCAAAAGAGCAATAAAAATCCACATTATAGATATACGTACCTCCAAATACCCAAGGAGTTTACTTTTTAGTTATTAGAGGAACAGATTTGTGGAAGTATGCTGATGTGTTCCTGCTATAAAGACCATAATTAATACATTATATATGGTGGAAATAATAATTACATATTAACTTTACAAGTTTTGGTGTTTCTGATTATTTTTAGTGTCTGAATTTTGTATAATAAGCATAACATGAAGACGGCAAGTTTTAAACAAGCTGCCGTTATTGCCTCTGTTTTGTCTTGAGCTCCAATTTGTTTACTAAAGACAGTTACGGTTTATCTTCTTTAATAAGAAATGAAATTCTATTAAAAATTTTATGACTAATAAGCTCTGCCTCTTTTTTATTTTTCTAGCTCTTTGTAGTCATTTCACCTGCAGATTAAGACAACCATGCCTTTTCCTTTCTGCCACCCTTTCCATATCTGACTTCAATAGTCATTATTTGTACAAGTTTCTCTTATCCAATAGTCATTTCACGTGGACTTAAGTTTGCTTTGTATTTAACTTATTTCACGACTCATTAACCAATTACTCTGTTCGCCTTAATTTCAGGGAAATGGTTCACATGGCTATCGATGGGATGTGGCAAGTTTTCAAGCTACAGAAGTCCACCTCGAGAAACGATTTTTTCCGTATAGCTGCCAAGAATGGGATTTTACTTAGACTTATTAACACACTCTACAGCTTAAATGAGGCTACCCGATTAGCTTCTATAGCTTCTGGCAGTGGGTTCCCTCCAGATGGTTCAGCTCCACGTCCACGGTCTGATCCTCTGGATTTTAGCAGTCCATTTGGACAGATGGATTCCTCACTTTATGGAAACGACCAGCCTGATCAACTTAAAGTTAAACAAGGAGACCAAGAAGCTTCACGAGCATCTGTATCACATTCGCCTGAGTCGAGATTTCTCTTTCCAAATGTTGAGGCGTCAGGTGCTTCAAGAGTGATGGATCCTGCATCTTTGGAGAGAATATCCAATATGGCTGCAAAGGATTATGCTTCAGCTATTCCCAGAGACCGGGAAAATGCAGACAGATGGAAGAATGAATCTTCTAGAGCTGAAGTTGAGCCAAAACAGCAAAAAGTTGTAAATGCAACAAATAGGCCATCCACGGATAGGGCTCCAAAATCTGTGGACATGACAACAAATGGTTCATCTACTTATACTGGCAGCCAACAAGAGAACGTTCGACCCCTGCTGAGTTTATTGGATAAAGAACCACCATCATCCCATTTCTCTGGCCAGCTTGAGTATGTACGTCATCTCACAGGAGTGGAGAAACATGAAACCATTTTGCCTCTTCTGCATGCATCTAATGACAGGAAGACAAATGGACTTGATTTTTTGATGGCTGAGTTTGCAGGTGATACTTTTAACACAGTTTTCTTGAGAGAAAGTCGGTCCCCAAGTTTTTCCCTTTAATATTTATCCCCAACATTATTGCATGGTTAAAGACATACTATGGGCATGTTCTCTTCTGTTGTTTATTATTAATCTTCAGCTTCGTGATAGTCTCTTGAAATCCTTAGAATTGGCATAAATATATTCAATCCTGATAAGATATAGTTTCTGCTCAGAGGTTACCGGACGAGGAAGGGAATCTTCTAATGTGGATTCATTGCCTAAAAGTTCACCAAAAGCAGCTAATAAGAAAATGGGACATCTGGCATCCAATGGAGGCATTGTTGCCTCTTCTGGACTTGCATCTCAGAGAGCATCAGGTGTGCTGTCTGGTTCAGGGGTTCTAAATGCTAGACCTGGGAGTGCGACATCATCTGGGCTACTTTCCAATATGGTGTCTCCCTGGAATGTTGATGTTGCTCGGGAATATCTTGAAAAAGTTGCCGACCTTCTACTTGAGTTTGCTGCAGCAGACACAGCCGTCAAATCTTACATGTGTAGCCAAAGTTTGCTTAGTCGTCTTTTTCAGATGTTCAATAAGATAGAACCCCCCATTCTTTTGAAGGTACCGAAAAAGGTGCTTTCTGTTTGATTGTGTTTTGAACTTTGATCTTTGTCATGCTTAAGGAAAAGAACTTTTTTTATCTTGCTTCTTTCAGCTGTTGAAATGTATAAATCATCTGTCAACCGATCCACATTGCTTGGAACATCTTCAGCGAGCAGATGCTCTCAAATATTTGATTCCCAACCTTGATCTCAAAGATGGTTCCCTTGTGTCACAAATCCATCACGAGGTGAGACGTTGAATCTTGTTTTTTATTTTCCTTTTTCCTATTTTTTGAACTAATGATCGTATGGCAGCCTCTATGCAATCACTACATAATAAAAGTAAATTTATGGATGAAAGCCTGCAGCCATTCATTAGTTCCTTTTTTTCCATTTATTTTTTCTTTTATACTTGAGGTGCGGCCAGGTGATAAAAAGTTAAGAACTAAACAGTATATGGAATGGGTTTGGCGGCGTGATTTTTCTTGTGGAATAAAACAAGCTATTGAACTAGCTTGAATTGTGTGCTTGTGGGTGCAGTTACTATATGACCCCACGCTAGATCCAGTACATGTGGGTTGACAACATACTAAAATGTTGCAGTGTTGCTTTACTATTATCTTTGAAGAAAAAAATATTAGTTGAGGGAGAGAGGTCAGTGAACTACTTGCATGTTTATGTGTGGGATTATATCAGTTGTCGTTAGATGACTATTTAGGAAGACGAATGCAAAAGAATGATCGGAAGTGGAGAAAGTAATGGAGTGAACAGAAGAAGAAAATCATAGAATGAAAAATTAGAGAAAATAGAAAGAGGGAGGAGGGAAATCCATCTGGCATCATTGTGAGATCAGAGATTTCTGATTATTCATATTAATGATTAGTTTTAGAAAACTAGATGCAAATGCGTTATTGCCTATGTCATATGTGGTATATATGTATAAATGTGAATATGTATGTGCAAGAGGTGGTTGTGTTTGAGGTGAAATGAGTTCTATCTACTTTCATATTCATTGAATCTTTAATGTTAAGGTGAAACCCATTAGAGTAATTGGAACTTTTTATGGTCTGGTGCATTCTACTTGAGTACTTCTAATCTTACCTGTCATGAGACTTGGCCTCACTTGTTTCCTTTGCTGAAGGTCCTTAATGCACTATTCAACCTGTGTAAGATTAACAAGAGGAGACAGGAGCAAGCCGCAGAAAATGGGATTATTCCCCACTTAATGCATTTTATCATGTCAGATTCACCTTTGAAGCAGTATGCATTACCGCTGCTATGTGATATGGCACATGCATCACGAAATTCAAGAGAGCAATTACGAGCTCATGGTGGGCTTGATGTTTACCTCAGCCTTCTTGAAGATGAACTGTGGTCTGTGACAGCATTGGATTCTATTGCTGTATGCCTGGCTCATGACAATGAAAACAGGAAAGTGGAACAAGCTTTGCTAAAAAAGGATGCCGTACAGAAACTAGTTAAGTTCTTCCAGTTCTGTCCGGAACAACATTTCTTGCACATTCTGGAACCATTCTTGAAGATAATTACGTAAGTCATCTTTTGATTCCAACATTTGATTTCTTTAATTTTTAATACATAATACTTATGTGCACCTGCATAATGGCGCTGCAGTCACAAACCGGTTTAGCTTCATTTCTAGTATGATGTAAAATTAAGCACTCGGTTGTCATCTATCTTCTAAGGCATGCTTAGGCACTCGGTTGTCCTATCTTCTATGGCGTGCTTTTGAATTAAGTGTTTCATTATCTGTGGTGTAAATGGCCTTTCTTAGATCATCACTAATCCCACTGTAAGTTTTTTAAACATTGAATTACACTTTTGTGACCCAACATACTTGTCCAATGCATCTTTTATTGTGACGGTGTATTTGATGTGGAATATATATTAATTGACAGGCTGAGAATACTCGGTTATTTTCAGCGGAAACATCGTGAGATAAGCCTACTCAGCAATACCATGTTTTCACCAATCTTGTCAAAATCAACACCAATTGCGAATATAATTTTTTCAACGCGTTCTCCTGAACCTACATGTACATATATATGCGTACATATAGATAAACAAAAACACCATATTGAAATCCAATCAACATACAAGGGCATATACAAATAAATAACAACCAACCTTTCTTGGAATCCAATCAACGGAGATGAAAGTTTCAAGATCGTGATTTATGTTTTTGTTTTGAGGGATAATATTATGCAGATAGTGAAAAATTGGGTGTTGTATTTTTCCTTTCCATTTTTTTTATTAATGAATTAGAGAGGGTTTTCCTATTTTAGTGGGTTACATCATAATTCAAGTTGTATACACATCAACATTGCATGTTCTCTATCCAGATAGTTTTATATTTTTGCTATGTAGGATTCACTTCTCATCATTATCACACAACTCATTAAAACTTCAGATCAAGATGTTGAGATGCTCTTATTAATTAGGATTACTGACTTATTTGCTTATCTTGTGTTCTGCAACTATCCAATGAATATGATATTGAAGTGAATAAAGAAGGGGAAAGAATGAACATCTTCAGGTGTCTCAGCTTGCTAAACCATTGCCTTTAGGTCAAGCACAACTCAAAACTAAATACGATCAAAACTTTTTTGATTACGTAAATTGAGCTGTCTATTAAATTGGAGTTATGCATGCTTTTAGCATGTTATTCCATACTAAGTCAGCCGAAGTTGGATTATTGTGGCTGTGGATATATCCATTGTCAAAGTTGCTCTGAGATGTTTTAATGGATATATTAATAACATGGATGCAATTTGTACCTAGATGGATCCATTTTGATCAAATAGTTGAGTTCCAACCCCATTGCCGATTAGGTCTAGGTTCTAAATAAGGAGCGTATTGAATTTGAATCAAAGATGATGACATCTTGAAGATTTATTTACATTGATTGTCAATGATTAAACATCATGCAGATTCATATCTTGCTTTAAGGATGATAGTTGACAGTAATATTATCACGTTACAGGAAATCATCTCGGATAAATACTACCCTTGCTGTTAATGGTTTGACCCCACTGCTTATCTCAAGACTTGATCACCCAGATGCAATAGCTCGGCTGAATTTGCTTAAATTAATAAAGGTAAAAGAAGTTGTTTTTCCTCTTTGATCCTCGGTTTCTTAAGATTTAGGACTTAGGCTGGGGTGGAATGTGATGAATGCTTATTTGTGAGATATTAATTTATTTGTGGTGGTTGTGTTTGGTCAGGCTGTGTATGAGCACCACCCTCGTCCGAAGCAACTGATTGTGGAGAATGATTTGCCGCAGAAGCTTCAGAATTTGATAGAGGAGAGAAGAGAAGGGCAGAGCTCGGGAGGCCAAGTTCTGGTCAAACAAATGGCCACCTCACTCCTCAAGGCACTCCACATCAATACTGTTTTGTAAATCAAGTACAGCATATGCTCTCCATTGTTTGTTCTCATGTTGTACATGTCCACGCCATTTTAAAGCTTTATTGCCTTCATTCCTTGAATCCCTCTTCTTCGTGATGTATGTGTGTATTTTTTGTCCGTTAAGAGTGTATTTCGGTCATTTTGTTGAACTACTCGATTGTTCTATTTAACGAAGTTGTTCGGTGAACTGTTGCGAACTTTACTCGATCAGAGCTTATGAGCTGGTCCATGCTTGTTTAGTAAAGGTTTGTGAAAGAAATCATAAAGTTTCACGATACTCGGTTTGGAGAGTCTCTTGAATTTTAAAATAGTATATTAATCCTAAATTGTAACACTAGTTTAATAGATGTGATGAAATTCATTTGAAATTAATTTATACTATTTGACAATCGGTAAAAAAATACATAAATTTGTAACAAGTTTCTACCGTGTTTATTTAGTCAAGTATGACAATTGCAATCCATCAATATGATTAATTACACTCGAGTTTGGCCCGTTAAAAAGTGAAACATACTAGAGTTGAACTCTCCAAAACTCGCCTACGTTAGAATGCCAACTTTAATGTAGCAGTAGCACTGTTTTAAAAATCTGTCAAGGCGACTGCCTACGCGCTGTGTTGTCGTCTCTAATTTGCATTAATCAGCTAAGAAAATTAACCAAGTGGCACCTAGAAAGGCTCGACGACAATATTTAAGTTTTTTTTTTAAAAAAAAATATTAATTATATTATTTAATTATAATATTTTTTTATAATATATTAACATGATTACTTGAACTTATGTTTGTAGATTTATTAAATTGAGAGAATTTTATTTTATAAGTAAAGAAAACAAATATAAAATAAATACTTAATATCACTTCTACATACAAAACCCAAAATTTTCCGTTGTCTTCCACCCTCTCCCTCTTTCAGATCCGTCGCCCGCCTTCAAATTTGTCGTCTTCCACAAGGCATCCGAGGTTTTCCGGTAGGCATTTCCTGGCCGCTCGGCCCCTTCCCGGTAATTAAGACCTCCCTGTTCCAGGAGATCCCATGGCAGCGTTCGACCAGATTCGGTGCGCCTGCTCCGGTGGGTTTCGCTTCTGGTTCCGGATTGTTGGGCACCGTGGTGGTGAGGTGGAATGGGCGAGATGCGGAATCTATGGGCCGGGTCGGGCGCGGCTCCGGCGGCTCGTTGCCTAAGGCATGAGTGGCTAGAGTTGCTGCTTTTCGAATTTTGCTTCCTCTCCCCGATTCTCTGGTGCTGGTTCCGGGGAGATTGCTGGCGGCACCGAGTTGCTAGTTAATGTAGCCCAACGATAAACGAAAAGGGAACAAGATGAGAAAACTCAATCTGATAAATTATTTCTTAAACTTCTGATCGTCTTCAATAGGAAGAGACAATATATAGAATCCTAACAAAGCTAAAATCCTAACTTACCAAATAAATAAATTCCATATAATATGGATTATTCAACTCCTAATTAGGAAAAGAAAAATAAAGCATAATAATAAAGTAGATAGCAAATAAATAACTAAACTAAGGACGGTAACGATCATACTTGTCCATAAATGCCATCGCGATCTCGTCTCCATCATCCTCCCCGGTTGGGAAGGATTCGCCCTCGAATCCGGACCGATCTCGTCTTCATCGGAGTTATCACCAAGGTAAGGGACCAAATGCTTGACGTTAAAAACGTCCGAAGCCCGAATATGCGACAGTAAATGAAGACGGTAGGCATTGGGATTAATCTTTGCCACGATCTCAACGGGACCAATCTTGCGGGCCAACATCTTATTGTACTCATGCGCCGAGAAACGATCCTTCGTCAAAACCGCCTAGACAAAATCACCCACATCGAACTTAACATGTCGGCGCCGCATGTCAGCTTGCTTCTTGTAGCCCGCGGTCACCGTCTCCAACCGAGCTCGGGCGGACTCGTGAGTCCGGCACAAATCCACCATTAGCTCCTCCGCACGTGGGTCGGCCGCCGAAGTCGACGGCAAAGCGAGCAAATCCGCAGCCCCACAAGGACGGACCGCGTACACCACCTCAAACGGAGAGAAGCCCGTCGCACGACTACGAGCCGAGTTATGAGTGAACTCAACCTGTGGGAGACGTTGATCCCAACTCTTCAGATTTTCGCCAACCAAACAACGTAATAAATTGCCAAGCGAGCGATTGACGACCTCCGTCTGGCCGTCCGTCTGAGGATGATAAGCGCTACTGAAATCCAAACGTGTGTTGGCCAGACGCCACAACTACGCCAAAAATGGCTAAAAAAGCGCGTGTCACGGTCAGAAACAATAGACGAAGGCAGACCATGCAGACGATAAACCTCACGAAAAAATAAGGTAGCAACATGAAGTGCATCCGCGGTCCTCTTGCAAGGAATAAAATGGACCATCTTGGAAAAATGGTCAACGACCACAAAGATAGAATCATTACCTCGCTGAGTACGAGGCAAACCCAAGACGAAGTCCATACTAATAGCTGTCCACGGACGAGAGGGAATCGGCAAGGGCCTGTAAAGCCCGGCATTGGACGCCACAGCCTTCGAGACCTGACAAGTATGGCAACGCTCCACGAAACGAGCCACATCACGACGCAAAGACGGCCTAAAAAAGGAACGACTCACCAGGGCAATGGACCGATCACGACCCACGTGCCCGACGCCATGAAGGTCCGCCACCACCTTGATGAGCGAACGAGAGTGTGATCGCGGTTGTTGTCTATTCGGTGTGAGTAATCGCGCACTCAGGGCCTTCGACTACACACGATAGATGTGACTAACAGACGCACAACGGCCTTCTCTTAGACACCGTGACTTCAAGATGCACTAATGGCCTTCTCTCCGACACTGTATGTAAACACGCACTAACGACCTTGTTTAAACACACGTAAGAACACCAAGTTCCCCTTTTTCTATTCACTCATCAATTCTGAACATGTTCTAATTATGAAGAGGTACATGGGTATTTATAGATGCATAAAATAAATCTAAGCCTAAGCTAATTAGATCTCCTAATTCTAGAATGAAAAGCAACATGGTAATAAAATCCTAATATTACTAAAACTACTAAAGTCTTGACTTGCACTCCAAACTACTTGTTCTCCAAGTCAATCGCATGCCTTAAATCCCTAGAACCTTCGGCCGCCCTATACGCGTCGCGCGCGTCTGCCAGCTTGCGCACGCCGCCTTGCCTTTCTTACTCCTTGTGGCGCGCAGCAACCCGCGTGCTTACTTCCCCCGCGGCTTCCTTCGCGCGCGCGCCCAGTCCGCCGTCTTCCCCCTGCACGTGTGTACCCGCGCCCAGCACTCCTACGTCCGCTAGGTCTCAGACTTCTCCCGCTCGCGCACCGCCCACCTCACCTACGCCTACTCGGTCTAAGAGACCAGCGACTGCCCCCCACTCGCGCGCTTCCACGCGCGCCTCATTGCTGCTGCCCCTTGCGTGCGCGTGCGCGTCGTCGCCCCTTACTCTTATGAATGCTCGGCTTAGGCCTCCTGCACCTGTGCTGCACTCGCGCGCCATTGCGTGCTCGCCGCCACTGTTGCCCAACTCCCACGCGTCCTCGCCACTTCCGCGAGTGCCGCGCACGCCAGCCATCTCGCCATCATCATCGTGCCCCGCGGTTGTTGTTAAATATTTTTTTACCGGAGTAGAATCCAAAGATTCGACACCGGGTCGTATCACAAGGAAGGTTAGCCGGATTATTTTGCACGGTTATTCAACACACGAAGTAAGAAACAAGTCCTAAACACTCTAATTCAAATTTGGGGTTTTTGACTATCAACTACGAATAATAAGAACAAGCTAGCAATTTCAAACTTACAATTTAAAGTTTAAACTCAAATAATGATAAAGGGGCTAGGGTATCGGGGATATCGCTTCCGGTTCTCAAAACAATTTACGAACAATCAATTACTCAACTAAAGGACTCAAGAACTAACTCATCTAGAGGTTCATTCTCAATATCTCACGAAACAAGAGAATAAACGTAAACAAATCAATGACGAATCAATTAGCATATAGACAATACGTTACCGGACAAGTTTATTCTTAACGAGCCTAGGTCGAACGATTTCTCCCCTTTCGGTTTCAAAATTGATTAATTAGATTAAGATGGTGATCAAACATCTAAACCCTAGGTTAAGCACGACTCGAAAAGATTGAGCAATGAATCAAACACATAAACAAAATCAAACCGGAACAATTATCCCCTAACCCTAGCTATTGGAATTAGCCACTCATTGCAATCTCAACACCAACATCCATAATCAAACCAACCATCATATTCATAAACAAAATGAAAAGAGGTGCTTACGATTAATAACAAATCCAATGTCAAGAGAAAGCAACGAACAACCGAAATCCGAGCTAAAATTGGAGTTTTTATGCTCCAAAATCCAATCCAAGATGCAAAAGTAAAAGAAAGATATGTTCTAAGGTGAAAAACTCGAAAAACAAAGTCTGGGGAATGTCTAAAATCCGTCCCCAATTCGATCCTTAAGCCTTTCCATTTGAAATTCCGAGAAAAAAGCTTCTGTTACAAAACAGGCCATAGCGGCGCTTTCCCCAAACCGCCGCTAAGGGAGAAAATGGCCGAGCTGCAGCCCATCGCTAAGCTATGTAGCGCCGCTATCTGGATTGGCCATAGCGGCGCTATGGACATAGCGGCGCTTTGTCCTTGGCAGCTTCCAAATTTCCAAGTTCGGAACTCGTGAGCTTTCGTCTAGCATTTCTCAGGTACTGCTCGAGCTATAAATTCAGTCTCCACATGCTTAAGTCGTACCGTGCATCACTTTCAACATCTGCAACCTGAAAACCACCACAATCGAACAAACACAAAAAACACGAGAAAATAGGGGGAAAAACCAAGATAATACTAAACACATCAAAATAATATAAAAACACGAGAGTCGACTAAAAAGAACCGAAAATGCCTTAGAAAGGGCCTAAACCGGGGGAAACGACACATGAAATAGCAAAGAAAATAATAACAA